TCATTTGGACTTTTATCCACAATTCATACTGAATTTGATTGATCTTTATGTGTTTCTTATCACATATTAAGCCAATGTTTCTAACGATGCCCCTATTTCAAATGTACTTGTTCATTTAAGGTTCGTTAACGAGGCTTAGAGTAGATAAAAGGGAGAAGAGAAATGAAGTAGAAAAGTGCATGGCATTAATAATAGAATTTTCAATTTACACGTGCCCATTTGATGTAGCTTGAGGGTTCGGGCATGCTCCAAGTTCTTGATTCGTACACAAGAAATATGGGAGAAAACATTTTTCAAAGGGATCTAGTTGATCTAATCACCAAAGTCGTCCCACAGCTTGCTCGGATGCCCGCACTCTGAAAGATTTCATATAAAGCAAGGGTTATCGGCTCTCCTTTTCTAGGTTTCGTCATCAACTCGTACCCCAAGCCTCGTCGCCTTGAATTGCTTATGTAGTTTGGGAATTCTTTTATTCCTTGAGCATTCTTACCCAGCCCCTGTCCAGGTTGACAGCCATTTTTGAACAAGATTCGTGTTGTCGGGTCCTTGTTTGGAATTTTTTCTACATGAGCAATTTCCAATGCTTGGAAGGTCGTTTCTAACGCTTCTTTGGCCGTATCTACATTCGGAATAGTCAGTGGTTTGCTGATAATCATATCTCCCTTTACTTGAACGACTACTGGCTTATTATCCACTACAAACTTGACCTTTTGGTGAAGCCTGGAAGGTACTGCCCTTGCTTGGTGTATCCACAGCCTTCCAAGGAGACAGTTGTAAGCGGGAGCGATATCCATTACTTGGAATTCCACATTGAAAATGATAGGTCCCACTTGGATAGGTAGGACGACCTCTCCCATTACTTCCCTTTGAGTTCCATCGAAAGCTCAAACGATCATATTGCTTGGTTGCATCTGAGCTTCCTTGACCATTAGCTTGTCAAACGTACTCTTAGGCAACACGTTCAGCGAAGACCCGTTATCTACCAAGATCTTAGCGATGAGAAACTCCTTACACTTTATGGATATATGTAAGGGTTTATTGTGGTCCAGTCGACCATTGGGTATCTCATCATCGGTCAATGTTAAGTGATTGTTAGCCATGATGCGACTTACGATCCCGTTAAACTTGTCTTGGGATATGTGGTCTGCCACATAAGCTTCGTTAAAGACTTTTAACAAAGCTTTTTGAGGTGGTTCAGAGCTCATGATCAACGAAAGCAAAGTGATCTTTGCGGGAGTATGGTTAAGCTAATCAATGATGGAATATTTGCTTTGTCAAATGAACTTGAGGAATTCATCTTCTTTGTCAAAATATGCTCTTCTTTCCTCTTTGTCCTTTCCTTTTGGGAATTTATTTTCTAAGTCTTTGGGGGTGTAAACGCGTCCACTTCTAGTCATTCCTCCGATCCTGGTAATATTTGATGATTCTAATAATGGTGAGCTTTGCACGTCATAGATCCATGGCATTACCTTGTCACTTTCATAGGGGAAAGGACTAGGCACTCGGATGGTAAGCTTGGGCACGTTTTTCCCCTCGTTTTCTAAAGTACTTGCTGACCTTTCATGTAGGGCTTCCCAATGTGATATTTCAGGTTTGCATTTGAAGATAAGCGATTTCATTATCTAATTAACATTCACAGATTATATTTCCCTTTTTATTCTTTATAATCTTACCAAAAGGGCGTATGTTCTAAATAAAAAGCAGTTTTAGGATGCAAAGACAATCGAGGAATTCAACAAATATCATTCTCATTGATTTATTTGTTTAGTGAACATTCTTCATGCAATGTTTTTCAGTATGTTTCGACAAAATTGTAGGAGTCTGAAGACCGATCAAAAGACAAGAATGAGAGGCTTATCTCTTGAAGACCGAAGCTCTAGATACCACTTGATGAGGTTCCACTTGTGAATCCTCAAGAACACCTTCAAATGCTTCTAGGTTCCTTGGAAGAATGGCAAGGAAGGAAGCTCCAAGAAGCACCAATGTGACCTAAACCTAACCAAGCCAAGTCCGGAAGAAGTGAAGGTTAACCTAGCTCTACAAAGAGAGGAGCTCAAGGAGGGTAGAGGTAGGTTAGAGTGACTTCCGGAGGGAGAGAGTTCAATTGTGAGAAATCTCATGCATATATCCAAAAGTAGCTACAATTCTCGGCCACATAGAATATATAAGGAAAATTAGGTTAAAGTGAACCATGGGTTAGCCTAAAGTTAAGTGAAACCATGGTATGGTTTACTTAACCTTAGATACCCAAAATTTGAATTCAAAATTCAAATTTTGGAGCCAAACCCGGAACCACCCATGTGCACCTCATTTGGAATGTAATTTAACTTCCATTTGAGTTGCATTTCGGTCACACCATGTGCATGTGTTGCACATGGCCGAAATGCATACCAAATGCAAAGCTAATTACATGCTAATGAAGTTACACATGCAACCCTAATTAAACCGTAAATTCAAATGACCATGAAATGAAATTCCTAATCTAAATGGCCGGAAATACAAGGCCTAAAAGAAATACAAGCCCTAAGGCCCAAACCTATACTACAAGATACAAGAACAAAATAAATATACAAGATAAGCCCATGTAAAGCTCAACTTTGGACCTTCCAAGCCTATTGGGCCTATTGGGCCTTGACTGGCCCAAGCCTTCATGCCTAGCCCACTCCTCTTGGCTCTTTTAGGATGTCCCCTCTTGCCTTCTTAAGCATGATTCCATCATCCCCTCCCTCTTGAAAAGGATTTGTCTTCAAATCTCGAGGATGCATGGAAGAAGAATGATCACCTATATGCACAACATGCCAAATATAGAAGGTAAGATTTTCATGGTAAGAAAATGAATTATAGATCCTAAGAGGAATCCTTCTATCTAGCCTAACAAAGAAAAATAAACTATCAAAATTAGACTCCCTAAAAGTAGAGATAGGATCCTCTGCTAAACATAACCTAGAATGAAAGCCTAAAAATATAGTGACACTATGACTTAGACAATGAAAAGAATGATTCTTAAAAACTACAACATCTTGCCTAAAGTACCCTAAATGGTAACCTAGGCTTTTCCTAGAATATAAAGAAAAAACTACTAGAAAACGCCCTAAACAATTTTGGATTTGATTGCTTATTAGATATGCATAATCATATAAGCTACATTTGTTTTGAAGGGAAGGAATCAATTTAAATTCAAAAGAGTAAGAACTTCCCTTAAAAGAAAACATAGAATATAGATTATTACAAATTGGTTCCAACAAACAATGTAGTCCAAAGATTGGTTGCTTTATTAAGACCATAGAAATACTTTCTTCTTTGTGCACCTTCAAAGAAGTAGTATAAGGAGTAAAACTAGAATTAGTCAACTCTTTCTTCACAATATCTTGAAGTTGAAGATGCTTCGTTTGAAAATTGTGTTGTTCTTTAACTTCAAGATTAGTGGCAGCATGAGGATAAGAGTTAAGACTTTTATGAATCAGAAGAGTACTTTTCAATGCGTGTTTGATGGTTAAATAACTCTCCTTGGTCACAAAGTCTTTAGAGGAGACCCCTTTATCCTCACTCTTCCCTAATAATTTATTTCCTTCTTTTTTTTCTAAATCACGTTTGGGATAAATTTTATTTTGTATCATGTTTAGGTAAATTGCACTTTATCCCATGTGATTTGGCTCAAAAGCACTTTGTTGTTGTTGTATAAAATTTAGCAGTTCACCTCCTTTGTATTTTGTTCTGCTAACACATAATAGCCTTATGATATTTTCCATCCTTTTTTAATGGAATGTATATTTAGAACTTGCTATAAAAATCTCTAATTCACATCCTTTTCATTTTTAGTTTTAACTCTCCTAGATAGAATAACCATTTTTTCACCCTTGCTACTACCCTGCACTTTGTCAAGAGGATTTGAGAGCTAGGAAAAGGCTACACCTAAAATTTATCACTAATGTTGTGCAACAAAACCATTCTTCATTTTAGAAAAAATGTTGTTGAGAATATTGTTCACAGGGATGCCTATGATGATTGCCATTTGGGTTGTCATAAAAGACCTCCTCTGAATGTATGAATAGGGTGTAACCTAACATAGATTGGCTGATAAGGAAAAGATACAACAAAATGGTATAATATTAATTGATAGACACTAATTTACAAAATAGATTCTAGCAGATAATTTAGCTTATATAGAGCTCAATCCAAATTAAATATAGTGAAAAACTTAAAAGAAGTTTATTTAATTTTTCTCTTTGCTTATTCTTTTTTTATCATAAGTCTAGTTATTTTTTTTTTAAGTTAACAAAGCAATCACCGCATTTGTTTTCATCCAAACCAACTATAGTTAATGTTTCATTCTAGTTTTGAAAACAACACCATAGTGTTTTCATTGGTTGGCTATGTGTTGATGGTTTCACAATTTTGTCTCAACCAAGTGAATTCCACAATTTTATAGATTTGATCCATAATGTCAAATTTTGCTAATTTAAGCTGAGAATGAATCCAATATATATATATATATATATATACCTTGAAAAAGTTTTAACACATCCTCGGCTTTAGTAGATCCAATTTCAGGCTCACCAATATGGGTTCTGTATACACGGTGCAGTATGTGCATTTCATGCCCTGTTCCTTCCTTTCCAAAAATAGAGATAGATTTCACATTACGCAGGAAAAGTAATGCTTCAAAAACAACCTTGGAAAAAGTAATGGGAATGAGAAAAGTCTTTCGATCCCACAAATGTATCCGGCAATATATATGGCAATATTGCTTCAAAAAGCCTGATTATCTTTAAAATGCTGGTTGGCAGTTCTAATATAAATATGATTTGCACAAATTACACAAGTTCACAAAAGCTTACTTATAGTGCTGCTCTTGCTGTTGCAAACTAAGCATGTCCAAAGCCTCTAATCCTCCATTCTTTATCTGTATGAACTATGAAGAGACCTATATTAACAATTTCTCAATAATCTTTGAAATGAGTAAAATTATACAAAAATAACTAACTACCATGTGCACGAGATGTAATTTATACATATCAGCCCATTCCACATTGTATGAAATCTATATACATCTGGAGGACAACAATAATGTGATATCGTAAAAATTGCAGGTTGTCGCAATATCATCAATACTAAAGCCACAACCACCTCCAAATAACAACTTACTTCAAAAGCCAAATGGCATCAGTAAATTAATGAAAATACTGGGAATGAGAAAAATATTTCAATGAAATCCAGTTGTTAAAATTTTGCCAAATTGTGTATCTGACAAGTTCATGTCACTACCACTTCCAAAGGTATGACTATCTTTGAAATGCTTGTTGGCAGTTCTATGTATTCCAATTTGCACATACTACACAAAGCAACAAAATCTTACATTTCAATATTTCATGTTGCTTCTTCTGTTATATACTCACCATGTCCAAAGCCTGCAAGCCTCCCTCCTTTATCTGTACATTGAAAAATTCATTAACTTCTCACAATCTTTAGATCAATTTTCTCAAATGAATAAAATCATTCGGAAAGTAATAGCCAAGCACCTACATGACATCTAATTTAACCATATCAGCCCATTCCACACTTCACAACAAGTTTCCAACATACATTGCTCTTGATGCAGCATAAATAACACATCCATATCACCATTTTGACATTATACATTGCTGGAAGCACCATTTCTCGAAACAAGAAGCACTACCTTCCTTTCACCTCTTTTCTGTACAATAACAACACCACATCACAACACCAAAGAAGCCATCTCCTCTCGCAGGCAAATAGCCTTACCACTATCCCCCTTCTTCGCGTATCCATCAATCAATGCCTCATACACAGTCACATCTGGGCTCACCGAACGCCCTTTCATAATCCTCAAATACCTCTCTGCATCTTCAACCTTCCCACAGCGGCACAAACACCGAATAATCGCCACGAAAACCAACAATCCAGGACTCACAGATCTGTACTCCATTTCATAATACAGCTTGAGAACTTCCTGAACCTCCTCCTTCTCAGCATAACCCTGCATCAAACGACAGTAAGTAACATCATTAGGCAAAAACCCTCTATCCAACAAAACAGTCAACATTTCATTTGCCTTCTCCACATAACCCCTCTCACACAGCCTCTCCACCACCTCATTAAACACCAAACAACCAGGCACAAACCCAACCTTCACCATTTCCTCAAAAGCACGCAAACACTCCTCCAACCGCTCCGAATCCGCGGCACAACCAACGAGAATGTGTTCAAACGTCTCACCATAAGGCTCCAACCCCTTTCCTTCCATTTCACGCATCAAACCAACCGCCTCCTCAATCCTCCCATCTCTGCAAAACGCTCCAATAAACGAATTATAAACAAAAGCATTCCCCTCGAAGCCTCTTCTCACCATCTCCATAAATAACCCCCGCGCGGAATCCAAATCCCCAAACACAACCTTGGCGTGCACAATCAACGAATACACGACGGTCTCGTGAAGCAGATTCTTCTGCAACAGTCTCTTCAACAAAACCACCACGTCGCGCTCCGATTCCGCCACGTGTCCCCTCTCCATGATCCTCAACATCAAACCGCAGTTAACAATCATAGAAGGAGAACGAAAGGTCCTCTTCCGCATGATCCGATCCAAGGTGTCAACACTCTTCTGCAATTCCCCTTCCTTGCACAGAGCATCCACCATGATCCTCAGACTCGTCACATTAGGGTAAGCCCTTCGCCGAATCATGAACTCGTAAACATCCCAAACGAGACCACACTCGTGAGATCTCTGAACCGCGTGAAGCAAGGCGTTGAAACTAACGACGCTGACGGAGAACCCGCGATCCTCGACGTAACGGCAAGCGTCGAAAGCGAGGTCCGTTAACTTGGCCTTGGCGTAGGCTTGGATGAAAAGGTTGACCGCGAGAGAGCGAGAGGTGGAAAGGTGACACGTGTCGAGAAGGGAATCGACGACCGCACGAACCGTGCGTGTGTCGGTGTTTCTTTGGGCGAGTGATTGGAGGAGTGCACGTGCGTCGGTGACTAACCTGGCTCCCAATAGGAGGTGGATGGCGATGCAGTAAGAGCGAGTCGCGTGTTGGAAGCCGTTGTGGCGCTTCGCGGCCCAATGGAAGAAGCCCAATGCGGCCTTTGCGTCGGTGGGGGAATTCAGGTGCAGCAGGACCTGTTCCACCGACGAGTCGTTTAACTCGAGGGCACCAAACTCGCGGGTTACGGCGTCCCAGTTTCGTCCCTCTCTGAAGGAAGTGCATAGTGCGCAAACGACGCTGTCCTCCAACCTTGCCTTTGACTGTAAATGACTAGCTTTGGAGAACAGCTTGGAAGCCATTTCGATTCTGGGGTTCGGTTCGGTCAATCTAAAACGTGGTCACGTGTGGAATATAAATATAGGAGAAATCACATAAAAATATATTACACCAACTGCTAGAAAATAATATGATATGAAGTTATTTTTTTAAAATTTCTCATATATTTTTTGGATTCGTTTTAATAAAAAATTTCTATATTTATGAATTCTTTTAATTCAAACATCATTTTTAAACTTATTATTTATGTAATTTGTAATTTATTATTTCTATATTATAGTATTAAATTTAAAGGAAAAACTTATTTCATAAACCCTTTAATTAAATTTTCCGATTATCGTAAAAAAAATTAAATCTATTAATTTGAATTAATAATAAAAAAAATATTTTTTTAATTTTGGCAAAGAAGCCGACTAATGTCAATCCACCCTAAGGGGAACACGCCAATATTTTAGTTCACTTTTAGCAAGAAAGTCAAAATAAATCGAATTAGTTCATTTTACTACTCCTAATCAAAAGTTATAACCATGAGACAAAACATAATTCTTCCTTTAGCATGATTGTGAATTGTACATAAATGTTCATAATATCTTCTCAAGTGTTGTTCGAAAGTTAGGGAATGGGAGTGTTTGGTAGACTTGGTCATGGTCATAAAGTCAAACATCCTAGGATTCTTAAAAAGTTACAAGTTATGGCTTTATTTTCTTTTGCAATTTTAGCCCTCATTAATTTATCTGTGCTTTATTTTGTATCATGTTTAGGTAAATTGCACTTTATCCCATGTGATTTGGCTCAAAAGCACTTTGTTGTTGTTGTATAAAATTTAGCAGTTCACCTCCTTTGTATTTTGTTCTGCTAACACATAATAGCCTTATGATATTTTCCATCCTTTTTTAATGGAATGTATATTTAGAACTTGCTATAAAAATCTCTAATTCACATCCTTTTCATTTTTAGTTTTAACTCTCCTAGATAGAATAACCATTTTTTCACCCTTGCTACTACCCTGCACTTTGTCAAGAGGATTTGAGAGCTAGGAAAAGGCTACACCTAAAATTTATCACTAATGTTGTGCAACAAAACCATTCTTCATTTTAGAAAAAATGTTGTTGAGAATATTGTTCACAGGGATGCCTATGATGATTGCCATTTGGGTTGTCATAAAAGACCTCCTCTGAATGTATGAATAGGGTGTAACCTAACATAGATTGGCTGATAAGGAAAAGATACAACAAAATGGTATAATATTAATTGATAGACACTAATTTACAAAATAGATTCTAGCAGATAATTTAGCTTATATAGAGCTCAATCCAAATTAAATATAGTGAAAAACTTAAAAGAAACACTCCTAAAAATGGCCAAATTACAATGAATTACAAACTGAACAACAAAGTAAACAAGTGGCTTCAAGATAAGTCAAAAACAGCCACCAAAATTAGTGAGGGATTAGTGACCAATTTTGCAACAAAAATTCAAAGTAGTAAGGAAAATTTGGTCTCTAAATCCGTCACTAATACTCTATTTTTTTTTATTTTAAATTTAATACAAAAAAGTAAATGAACTCCAAAGGATCTCCACGGATGTATGTAAGTCCAGCAGCCACAAATTTCCAGCAACAAGTGTTTGGTGTTTGAAATTTTAGTAGCCAAATTCGAAAGCACTCTTTGTCCCTTCCTCCTTCTTTTCTTAGTCCTCTTTTGATGACCCTTGTAGAACTAGCTTCTATGGAGATAGACTAGGTCAAAACTTAGGTCACATTTGAGTGCCAAAAAAGAACATAACCAGCCAAGAGATTTGAGAGTTAAAGAAGACAAGAGTAGATTTTAAGAGAAGACAATATAGATGAACAAAGAACAAAGAATTGGCTAGGACAAGAAGGAATTAACCTAGATAAGATCTAGAGTTGATTAACAAAACCAAAAACACTCAAAATATGTAAGCTGAAAAAAATGTATACACAAGAGGCAATGTAAAACCGAGAAGAAACTTTAAACAATTTCAACACAATCTCCTTGTATGGCTTTTACTTTGAGGAAATTAGGTTTAGTTATTTTTTTTAATCACTTTGCTTTTGCATTTTCTTTTAAACTTTGTTCTATTTTTTTTTTATCTTAGGAGATGCCTTTTTCTTTAAAAAAATTTGCAAACACACACTCTCGGTCACACTTAGGTTGAAGCACAAAACCGGTTCAAATTTGAAATACAAATGGCAAGAAAATTAGGTCAAGATGTAATGTAAATGCAACATGCTTTTTGTACTTGCTTGTTTGTTTAGCACATGCACGGTTTTGGCTCTAAAATTCAAATTTCAAATGAATCTTTAAACAAAAATTTTCAGCAAACAAGTCTCACATAAGATCAAACTCACAGATAGGAAAAAAAATTTCAAGACATTTTATAGTATAGGAAACCTAAAATCTAAGAAAACTACTAATGAACTAGTAGTAGTTTATGAACTCAAATTCAAACAAAATTATGAGCACACAAGACAATAAGGATCTCGGACAAATCCAGAAAAAAAATTTCAAGATGCAAATGAAAACACAAGGTTAAACAAGCATAGCTAAGAATGATGAACAAGAAAAGAACTACACATTACTCCTAGACATGGATTCAAAATAAAATTGACTCAAACACACAATGACCGAATAAGATTTCAAATAAGACAAGCAAATTAAAAAGATCATCGGCAGAAAATTCCTAAATGCATAAGAGAATGTAGCATGATTCATGAAAGCAATTGATCAATCTAGAGGGTAACACGTTGCCTGGTCATAACTACGAGGCTAAAAAGGTGTTGTGTCCCATGGGTTTGGAATATAAGAACATACATGTGTGCCTAAATGACTATATATTGTATCATGGTGAGTTTGAAGGTTTGCATTAGTATCCAAGATGTGGGTTGTCACGATATAAAATGAAGCAGGATGATTCTGATTATGATGTGAGCATTAAGGGTTCTCTAGCAAAGGTTTTATGGTATTTGCTAATTGTTCCAAGATTAAAGCATTTGTTTGCTAATGCAGATGACACAAAGCTAATGAGATGGCATGGAGATGAAAGGAAGTGTGATGGGTAACTTAGGCATCTGGAAGATTGCTTATAGTGGAAAAAAATTGATTTTATATTTCCAAATTTTGGTAAGGACCCAAGAAATGTCAGGCTTGGATTAGCTACAAATGGAATGAATCCATTTGGAAACTTAAGTACTAAGCATAGTTCATGCCCTATTTTACTGATATTTTACAAGTTACCTTCATAGTTGTGCATGAAACGTAAATATGTAATGTTCTCTATGATGATTTTTGGTCCAAGGAAACTAGGAAACAACATTGATGTCTATTTAAGTCTATTGGTTGAAGACTTAAAGATGTTGTGGGAGGAGGGAATTGATGTGTTTGATGGGTATTCAAATGAATTGTTCAAGTTGCGTGCCATGTTGTTCTTCACAATCAATGACTTTCCAACATATGGAAACTTGTACAACTATAGTATTAAAGGGCATAAAGCTTTCCCTATATGTGAAGAGGACACTTGTTACAATCAACTACTCAATTGGAAGAAGACAATTTACCTTGGCCATCGAAGATTTCTTAAGCCTAACCATCCATATTGAAGGTTAATATATATATATATATATATATATATATGATTTATTCTCCTAGAACTTGATGTTATAAGGGTAAGGGAACATCTTCTATGTGATGGGTTTCTTAAGAATTATACACGTCGGATATGGCATGGTGACAATATTGACATTCCAAGTGTGTCAGTCGAAACTCAAACTCAAACTTTTACACAAGAGTTAGATATGGATGATCGACTAGAGGAGATGATCTGTGATGTGGGTCCAAAGTCATTCAAACGAGTACATATGTATGAAACTTTGTGTAGTGATTTAGAGAAGTTATTGTATCTAAACTGCACAAAATTCATAAGATTGTCTAGGGTATTATGATTATTCAATCTGAAGGCAAGAAATGGGTGGAGTGATAAAAGCTTCACAGAATTGTTAGAGTTGCTGAAAGAAATGCTTCTAGAGGGTAACACGTTGCCTGGTCATAACTACGAGGCTAAAAAGGTGTTGTGTCCCATGGGTTTGGAATATAAGAACATACATGTGTGCCTAAATGACTATATATTGTATCATGGTGAGTTTGAAGGTTTGCATTAGTATCCAAGATGTGGGTTGTCACGATATAAAATGAAGCAGGATGATTCTGATTATGATGTGAGCATTAAGGGTTCTCTAGCAAAGGTTTTATGGTATTTGCTAATTGTTCCAAGATTAAAGCATTTGTTTGCTAATGCAGATGACACAAAGCTAATGAGATGGCATGGAGATGAAAGGAAGTGTGATGGGTAACTTAGGCATCTGGAAGATTGCTTATAGTGGAAAAAAATTGATTTTATATTTCCATTTTTTGAATATTAATTAAATTTGTTGGTTGTGTTGGCTGAGGTTGAATTAGTGAATCTTTGGTATGGTTGAATCCTAATAAATTCCTTTTGTATGTTGGCTAAATTTGTTACTGTTGGCTTTGTTGCCTGTGTTGGCTAATTTTTTAAATATTAATTAAATTTGTTAGTTGTGACGTTGTGTTGGTTAAATCAGTGAATCAGTGTGATGGAAAACTTGATGGAGAATCCGAATTGATGTGAATCCTCTTCAAGTTCCTCCCTAGATCTTCGGCTCCTTGATTCTTCCTAAGCTTTGCTAAGGTCTCCAATGGAGGAGGAGACCGTAGAACCACCACGGTTTGGTGGAGAACTCTCCCAAGAGACGCCACTCCTTGATGGAGATAAGTCTCTTCAATTCTCACCACACTCTTCTAGTGAAGTGATAAGAGAATTGGATGAATATCAAAGAGGTTTAGGGACTTTTAGAAGAGAGAAATCTAAACAATTCTTCATAAAATAATTCTCAATATCTCAAAAAGTGTTTTACAATGAAGGAAAAATGAAAATATAGGAGTAGGAAGCTTGGAGAGCAAGCTAGCCTTAACCATGGTTCACTAGGAACCATGGTAAGGTCTAGCTAACCATCCATGGTCTAGAGGCTTGGAGAGCAAGCTACTCACTTAGCTTTCTTGGTAAGCAAGCTAAGGAGAAGCTTGTGCTTCAAGCTTCTAAGCTTGAGTATGAACAAGCAATGTGAACACAAATCAAGGTGGACGGCTCATGGACTTTATTTTACTCCAACCGGTTTTGAAAAAAATGTTGATTTGGTTTAGTTAGGTTCATCCAATGTGAATGAAACCTAGCTAAATCTAATCTATGAAAAATTAGGAGTAAAATGAGTCTAATATGTAAAATTTTGCCTAGGCCCATCTCTAGGTCCAATTGCTAGTAACACTCTCTAGCTTGCTAGTTACACTCTCTAGCTTGCTAATGCCACTCCCAATCCTACTACTAAAAAACTAAGAAAAGAGTGTATTTCTAGATTAGGTTATATGGAGTCAAAGTGTCCAAGTAACCTACCCTAGAAACAATATACAATAGCTAATAAAAGGAAATAAAGTGTCTCACAAATACAAAGGCAAAAATACACCTATACAAGTATCTACTATATACAAGGTACAAGAAATCAAACTATACAATGTATGTACAATAGAGACTATGAGACTAAAAAGAGGAATCATACTCAATACTCATATTGAGCATAGGTCTAAGAAGCACCTCCTCTCTAGAAGCCTCCTTTAGCCTCCTAACCATGGACCTAGTTAAAGGCCTAATGGTCTTCAAGTGTGACCCTCCTTGGATCAACCTTCACCCTTCTTGGTCTTACCTCTTCCAAAGGGATCCTTGGGGATTAGATTTCCATCATAGTGTAATATTTGACAAGCTAAATTTCTACCTGTTACTAATTGTGTTGTATATATTTATGGTTTTACAGAACAAAATGAGATCTGAATATAAGTGGATTAGAGAATTGCTTATATATCTAAATCCAAAAGTAAGAGTTCTAAGTAGGAATACAGTCATGTCTAATATTTCATAGCTAAATTTGTTTGACATTTGATTGTTGGACTTTTATAACTCAACAAGGGTATATTTGTTTGACTCCCCATTTTGTTGATGCTAGTTGGAAGTTGAATAGTAAGATTATTACCTATTGTAAAATGGAACCTCCACACACTAGTCATGATTTGGCACAAATTTTTTTTGCTTTGTTGTTTGATTGGGGAATAGATAGGAAAATATTTTCTATCACATTAGACAATGCTAGCGCCAATGAGGTGTTGCAAAAAATTTTGAGTGAGCAATTGAAATCGCAAAATAATTTGATATGTAACAGTGATTACTTTCATATATGGCGTAGTGCACATATATTGAATATTATTGTGCAAGAGGGCTTGAGGGTGGCTTTTGATGCTTTGCACAAGATTAGATAGAGTATTAAGTATGTGAAAGGATCGGAGGCAATAAAAACTGCATTTAAAGAAGTGTTATTCAAGTGAGGGGTATTGATACAAAAGTAGGTTTGAGAATGGAAGTTGCTACTAGGTGGAATTCTACCTATCTTATGCTTGAAAGTGCAATTACATATCGAAGTGCCTTTGGAAGCTTGGATATCCGTGATAGAGCTTATGTTCATTGTCCATCAAATTATGAATGGAAAAAGGCTGAAAAATGTGAGTTCTTGAAGCCATTTTATATCATGACTAATTTGATTTAGGTTCATCTTATCCAACTTCTAATCGTTACTTCATGCAAGTTTGGAAAATTGAATGTTTGTTACGGGAAAATGCCAAAAGTGATGATCGAACAATTAAAGATATGACATTGAATATGATGAACAAGTTTAGTAAGGATTGGGATCATTATTGTGACATTCTTGCTATTGAGGTTATTCTTGATCCACGAATGAAGTTTAAAGCTATTCGGTTCTGTTATTCAAAGATTGATCCTTCTACATGTGAAGAAAAGATTAATATTTTAAAAGAGAAGATGTACAAGTTGTTTGAAGAATATGTCAAATTACATTCAAATGAGTCAAATACTTCAAGTTCTCAAATTTCCCCTCCAACACAAGTTGTTTCCTTTACGAATGATGAGCATGTGATGGATGCATTTGATGTAAGGTTTTAATTCTCAAATTTTTCAACACAAATTGCTTTATTTTATTTACATCTTATTTCTTACTTATCATAGACATTAAAATTCTCTTATAATGTCTTAGGAATATGTTAATTATTTGAGTCAACATATTAATGAAACTGGAAGGTCTGAATTGGATCTTTATTTAGATGAAGGGAATCTTGACCCAAAGTTTTTGATAAGTTGGATGTATTGAGTTATTGGAGGGATCGTCGAGATCGTTATCTAAACTTATCTAAGATGGCTTGCAACATGCTTAGCATTCCAATCACTATAGTTGCTAGAGAGTCTACCTTCAGTCTTGGTTCTCGTCTGCTAACAAAATACCGTTCTTCCATTCTTCTGGAGAATGTTGAGGCACTCATTTTAACTCAAAATTGGTTGCATGATTTTGAATTAACAGGTAACATTTATTAGTACTATGAAATTAATTTAATAATTTATTACTTAATTTTTCATCATTATTAGTTAACATTTTATTTTAATTGTAGATGGGGATAAAGAAGATGCTTCAATAGATGAATATATTTTGGATTGCTCCATTCAAGACTCTAATGTTATAAATGGACAACTGACAACAATAATTTAATGTTGGATTGTAATTTGTAATTTTTATGATTTTGGATTGTATTTGAAATTGAAGATGATTTTGGATTGTATTTGAAGTTTAAGATGATTTTGGATTATATTTGTCTATATGAGATTATTTAGATTTTATTTGATTGTATTTAGAATTATCATTTAATGTTTGGGATGAATAATTCATTTATGAATAAGTTTGAGTTTTTTGGGCTTTAGTTGTATATTAAAAAAAAGAAAATGAAAAAAATACATTTCTTTTTAAATTAGGTGAGCCAACCCGTTTAACCTACCAACCCGTGGTGGGTTGGGCCAGGTTCAATTTTTTTGAACTTACTAATAAATGAGCCAGATTAGGTTGGCTCACCAAATGATCAACCCGTGGTGGGCCGGGCCGGGTTACCTGTTTTGACAGCTCTAGATTGAAGCGACAATTAAGTTCTCTTAGAAATCGTATCACTAAGAGTTCTTCAACTATTATCTCTTTATTAGAACATAAAAATATTTATTTATACAAATTTTAAAAATAATTTATATATTTAAATATAATATATATACAAATTATTATAACAATCGTTCATAGGCCAAATTATTAGATAAATTATATTGAAGTAGTTATTTTTCTTAATAATAGGTATAAAAAAACCTCAAAGATCAATATTGAAAAGATGATCTAATGGTGTGAATTTTTTTTCTCGAGAAAGTGTTTACGATTTTCCAAGCCTAGTTGAACCTCTTGTATTAATTATTTATTATTTAAATATATTTTTAATCTCTTAAATTTAAAATAAATTTATTTATTTTCTTAAATTTAAAATTATTATTTTTAATTCTTATAATTTTTAAAAATTTTGTCTTAATTTTTCATATCAACAATAATATATATGAAAGTGATAAATTAAAATAATTATATACTATTAATTAAGTTTAATGTGATACTCTCTTAAGAATATTAATTAAGTTATACACTATTAATTAAATTTAATGTGATATTTTTACTAAAAATATTGATAAATTTTATACGACAATATTTAATAAATCCTCTGAAAAAATTTAGATATAAAAACTAAAATAATTTTTTTACTTAAAAACTAAATATAAATTTATCTTGAATTTAAAATATTAAAAATATATTTAAACCATTATTAATTATCAATTAACATTTGACGAACCATAAAAAAATTAACATTTGACGTTCAGATTCCCGAAGACACTCCCACCTCGCCAAAAACTTAATACACCCTCTCTACTAAAGTTTGAAAACTTTTCTCACTCTTTCACTTTTCCCTCGCTTTCTCGGGAAAATGGCGAGGAAACGCAACAGGGCTCGGGTTCCAGGCGTACTGTGGCGCCTGTACCGCGACCGAGCGCGAACCCTCTCAGACGCCATCACATCTCTGCTCCCTCCGCCGCCGGTGCTCTGTCGCTGCAACTGAGCCTGATTTTAGTGTGCTTTGTCTAATCATTTGTTATCTCATCTTCCGTTTTCAAAGTGGTGCCAAACGTGGATTTGTTAGTGAGTTGTGATTTCTGTCATTTTCCAACCAAGTCTTGGTCGTGTGTGGGTGTGTGACGGCTGTAGTATCACGTTTGCTTGCTTATGAGTTATCAAGCTCTGTGATTCGTATTCAACCAAACAACCCACAGTATAACCAGTCATAGATACTACCAAATGTTTAGGGGTTAATTTTTATTTTATTTTTAATGTTTCTATCTGTTTCCATTTTCCTAAGCAATGTGCTAGACTCTATGCTTTGGCACGTGACCATTTTGTTCCTTCAACTGCACGTGACCATTTTGTTCCTTCAACTGCCAAGAGTGAAATCATATAAATTTCATCTTTCCAATAAAATTGTGAAAAGATTTAAATATATTTTTAAGCTTTTAAATTTAAAATAAATTTATTTATTTTCTTAAATTTAAAATTATTATTTTTAATTCTTATAATTTTTAAAAATTTTGTCTTAATTTTTCATATCAACAATAATATATATGAAAGTGATAAATTAAAATAATTATATACTATTAATTAAGTTTAATGTGATACTCTCTTAAGAATATTAATTAAGTTATACACTATTAATTAAATTTAATGTGATATTTTTACTAAAAATATTGATAAATTTTATACGACAATATTTAATAAATCCTCTGAAAAAATTTAGATATAAAAACTAAAATAATTTTTTTACTTAAAAACTAAATATAAATTTATCTTGAATTTAAAATATTAAAAATATATTTAAACCATTATTAATTATCAATTAACATTTGACGAACCATAAAAAAATTAACATTTGACGTTCAGATTCCCGAAGACACTCCCACCTCGCCAAAAACTTAATACACCCTCTCTACTAAAGTTTGAAAACTTTTCTCACTCTTTCACTTTTCCCTCGCTTTCTCGGGAAAATGGCGAGGAAACGCAACAGGGCTCGGGTTCCAGGCGTACTGTGGCGCCTGTACCGCGACCGAGCGCGAACCCTCTCAGACGCCATCACATCTCTGCTCCCTCCGCCGCCGGTGCTCTGTCGCTGCAACGGCCGCCGTTGCCTTGGCTGCGCCGCCGACGCCAACTCCTTTCTCCTCCGACCAGGCGATCCCTCCGATTACCGGAAACTCCTCGCCAAGTGCTACGTCGTCGTTTCGGAAAACGCGCCTTCGGTTCCGTTCTTCGTTCCCCCGTCCGGCTTGCCCCAAGATCAGGTATTGAAAAGTACTTTTTTTTTGTCTACGCATTGGTGTTTGAATTGATAACTTTTTATGATAACAACTTTAGCGCTTTGTTTGGATTATGTAGAAAACAATGACATTAAGAGAGAAAGGGAAAGGAAAAATAGTGGGAAGTAGAAAGTAGAAAATGATATAGAGGCATATGAATCAATCGATCAAGTTAAAAGTTCCTTGTTTTTAGTAAAAAAAAACTCTTAAAACTCAACTAAACTCCTTTTCAAATACATGTTAAAAGTGCTTTTGAGAATTATATATTAAAAAAATTCTTTATTTTTAGTAAAGAAACTCTTAAAACTCATCTAAACTTGTATTCAAAAATCAAGGAGTTAGATATAAGTGGTAATGACCTGAATCCAAGGTTGAATTATTCGTGCAGTGCCTGAACTCATCCTTGACAGAAACAATTCTTGATTAGATTTTACTTACCTCCTGGCGGAATTAGAATAGTCTAAGGTGAAGCCTTAAAACACTAGTGCAAAAAAAAAACTTGTTTTCAAAAGCGAAAATTCTTTATTTTTAGTAAAGAAATCCTCAAAACTCATCTAAACTTATTTCTAAAAGCGCTCATAATTATTTGTTCTTTTTTTTGGTAATTATCTGTGCTTTGTGTGGTATGGTGAAAGTAGTAGAGAAACGTATAAGAAAGGGTGAAAATAAAGTGAAATTGGGAAATGACATGCCTGTATTAGAAATACGTTAGTGATTCAATACAAGTGGAAAGTGAAGAAAACGATAAGAGGATAGGAAAAAAAAATATTTATGAAGAGATTAACAATATTTTTTCTTCTCCTTCCACGTTGCTTTATGTCCAAATAAGATATAGGATACAATAAATTTTAGTAAAACCTTTACTTGTTTTTTTCTTGTTTCCTCATGTATCAGAACAAAATAAGAGGGAAAAGGATTGGGTTGGTGGAAAAAAATGAAAGGAGCGATATTTTCTTGATAAATGTGTTTTCCTTTATGTGTTTTTTATTGAAATGCCATTCCAAAATAGTCATTTCGACGGTGATTTTGAATTTCAGATTGTGAAGAGGACCATTGAACGGATGCTGTATCGACGGGAGCCATCGAATGTGTTGTCCTATGGTTATGATAGGGTGACTTCATTTCTTCTTTAGTACTGTACAATTATTTTGGTTGTTTGTGTATTTTTTACTGAGTTCATATTCTCCAAAGTAAAATGGTAAAATATTTAGTAAATTAATAAGATAATTAGTTTACATAATACTTGAACTATAATGGGTGTGTTTGTGAAAGCTGTGAAAATTAAATTATTTCAATAATTGATTATATGAATAATCGGTTATTGTTATAATCAATTATGATCGAAATGAAATTTTGTTTGTGTAAGTTTGTTGAAAATAAATTTGAAGATGTTTAATTTCGTTTGGTTAAAAAAAATCAATTTCTATGTAATAAATCAGTTTAAAAGGTAAAAAAGTTGTTGAGAAATAATCTAAGCTTCAAATTTTCAGCTTTATAAAAACATTTTATTTTTCAGAAAAAAAAAGCTGTTTACAAACTTTAGTTGTTCTAAACACAGTTATTTTTTTGTAAACAGCTTTTTTCCTCTAAAAATAAGCTTAAATGAGAGAATTATAATCTCTTTGAAACATGCACAAAATCTCGCACAATTGATTCATTCTTTATAAACATTCATGCTATTTCTATTTCATTTAAGTAAAATATATCTCTAATTTTTTTTAATAAAGAAAGAAAACTTAAAACAATTTTTTTAATAAAATGTAAAAAGTATAATCTAATTCATAGCAAATTAAAGATATTTAGGTAATATTAATAAATGATAAAAATAGGAAAAAAAAACTACTTGAATTAGAAATCTAATGCATATATATTATTTGTTATATATACATGTTGCAATCGATCAAAAAACTATATTTATAAACAGATTTTTATTAAAAAAATAGTTATGTTTATTTTTAATTAGTTATATTTTATTTAAATGAAATAGAAATAATATGGATGTAAATAAAAATAGATCAAGTTTAGTAGGTTTTATAATTTAAGTGCTACATTAATCAACTTTATTTAAATGAAATAGAAATAATATGGATGTATAATATAATAGATAAAGTGTAGTAGGCTTTTTAATTTAAGTGTTACATGAATCAATTATTTTGTTATTTTACTAAATACTTTACCATTCTATTTTAGAGGATCTGCACTTATTTTCTACTTTGCTTTGTTCTTTTTTGTTGTTTCTTTTGCTGTTTTTCCATTATAAAAGTATTCTTAATGTTGAATTAGATATTTCAAGGAGTCATAATGCAGTTGCGTTATTAGGTACTACCTAAAATGATTTGTTTTATTAATTAGATGTTGTTGACCGTAAAACTTTTGTGCTATTGCATGTCTCAAGACTGCATACTCCTGGATGGTTTTTGTTAGAACATTGGTTCTCTTACCTGATTTTAGTTAACTATTGAGAGTTGACATAATATAAACTGGAGAATGGAGGATTCATATTAATGCATTGGTGATCTAAGGATGAAATAATGTCAGGGACTCAGGGTTATAATATTTTTTGAAGACTAATATGATTTATTCCTTCATTTTTTTAGAGGGTAGTTACTGGTTAGGCAGGCATATGTCTTCATGTATTTTATGAATTCCAGTGTGTATATGTGCATGAATATATGTCTTGTATTTGCTGATTTTATTCATATGCAGCGTAAATGTTCAAGCCCTACTGTGGAGCTTTTGTCCTGTGCATCTTGGTGTCTTCTGTTAAGTAGGGTATGTGATGATATCAATATTTTTAGGATAATATTTATTTAGATAAAGGTTATTTTGTTTTTCTTATCAAAACTAGGTAAAAACTTTCATCTATGCAGGTTGGAGATGATTTTATGGTTTACTTGCTAAGGAATACATCAATATTCCTGCCAGTTCCCCATGGAAAACACCACCAGGTGGGAGGTCCTCTAATCAGTCGTGTATGCTTTGATAAGCTCAAGTGTCAACCCAAGTTTCACTATCAGAATGGTAATTAGAAGTCTGTTATTAAATTTAACAAAGAATTTCGTGGTTCTTGTTATTGCTATAAAATATATTCGTTTGACATATTTAATCCATCTATAAAGCACGGAAGGTTTTGTTGTTCATTACTTCATTTAGATTTCTATCTTAAATTTACTTGTCTAGTAACTAAAATTCATAGAAGATTTGAATGTAAATTGCCACATCTGAAAAATCAATAACTGTTGCCATATCTGCTGTATATCGTTGATTGGATAAACTCATGAATCAATAAGCCTTCTAATTAGAGATGTCACATCAATTTGTGATAAGGCTAAAGTAGTGTATACAAGTGAGGAGCAACTATCGCCTCACAAATTGATTTGTGAGATTTAGTCAAGTCTAAACTCACATTCTAAGATGATATTGGAATCTATATTAGTGATTGTTGTGGAGCCTATCTGCAACTTGTTTTTCTGTTATCCGAACACCAACAAATGTTCAATCTTGTAAACTTCACATTTGAGATGTGTAGTGCTTGGTGATAGAGGTGTGTATTTTAGATTTCACACCAATTAGTGATAAGAATAAAGGGATGTATACAAATAAGAGACAACTCTTACCTCACAAGCATGTTTTGTGAGATTGAGTGAGGTCCAAATCTACATTCTAAGACTTCTACTATTATTGAACCCATTTATTTGTCATCTTCCTCTTCCTCTTATTAGTTTTTCTGATTAATGTTATTGCTATCTTGGGTCTTCTTTCCTGAAACTTATTTGTGTCATGAGTTTAGAGGAACATGAAATATGGGAAATATCTTTTTCCCTCTTGGCTACTGGTGAGATAATGCAATAATGGGTTTTATTTGCAACAGATTCACAAAAGAGAAAAAGAGCTGATGCTGATGACCTGACAGTAGAGAAACTAAAGTGCCATATTTCTCATAGTACCAATGGTTCTCTGGGTTTTTCAAGTAATGTTGGTTTAACTGATAAGTCCTCGATGCAACTGACCAGGCATCATGGGAGCAGGAATTATGATGTGAGTGTCTTTGAAGTTCCCAAGTCAACAAGAACTGGAACTGTCACAAGCAAATTAGAGTCAGAAGTGAAACAAGGCTTGAATTGTATTACACCTAGGCTTGGAAAGCGTTCTAGGCCATTTAGTTGGCAGCGGCGCAGTAGCAAATTGCAAAAGCATTTAACCTTTGAAGAAAATAGTCTAAATACACATTGCAACATACCTGCTACTGATACAGATTGCTTGCATGCTAGTTTTCAGCCCAACACCACCAGCTTAAGTTATCAGAAAAAGGTGATCAATTGTTTTTATCAACTGTTGTTGAATGCCACTGACAAGCTTGTGTCCTGAGATTTTTGTAGGTATTAGACTCTTTTCTGTATCAAACTTGTATTCTTCATGTGCTCCACACATTTGTAGCTAGCATCAATCCAAAATACTGATAATGTCAAATGTATGGTGTTATAATTGTACTGAATCCTGATTGATAGTTATGTAGGACATCCTTAAGCTTATTTACTTTCTTTGGGATTTAGTGCATATTGGAATAATGTTGATTATTGATTTTTTGTAAACCATACAACACTTCAAGTTATGGCAAAGTGATATATGGTGGACGGATAAAGTTTAAACTTCTAGAGACATGGTGTTCAGATGTTTCACATTGATTAGGAATGAGTAGAAAACTTCATTGAGGTAACTTTTGTGATTGAGTTAGGCTCAATCCATTTCTAATATGAGGAATTACTATCTAATTTATTTGCGTTATATTTGATCATTATTTTACCTTTGGTGTTTACTGTAGGTGGAATCATATGATATTTTTATGAAATGCTAGAATAGTATAGATTGTCTGCTTCCAATAATCATTTGCAACAATAAGTGGAGTTCGACATCGCAAATAGTAATTCTCAAGAGCCAGAATTAGGCTTGTAGGAGTTTGTACCATGGTTCAAGCCAGATTCTCATAGTAACTTACTAATCACAGTGATAGACATGCATTAAATGCCTTAGTAAGTATTATCTACAACAGGCACAAGCAAGTGCTTCGCTTTTGGTACTTTTTCTTTATAAAAGAGAAGTTCGCTGAGATGGAAGAGAATATAAAGTTGGAGCATAATGATCTACTGCCTAAAGTTACAAAGTAACAACAGAAAAGTGAAATGTAAAGGAAATTGTTTATGTCAGAAGATCTAGTCCTTTTGCAAGCATGTCCTAGAAACGCCCCCTTTAAAATCCCATGAGCAAAAGCTCACAAAGAAGCAAGGAAAATTAACCTGTCTGATAAGAGCTGTTGATGGAGATAACTATATTTCACATTCTAGTTACTCTACAGTAATATATATAAATAGTTTCGGAATATGTTCATGAAGGAGTGAGTGCTGATATGTTGATGGTACGTTATGATTGCATTACCCTAAATATTAATGCTGAAGTTCAAGAGGACCGTGGGGTTCATTTCAATCTTCACTAACAGTAATTTATATTATTTCATTTTTTATTTGTTGTTTTTTGGTGCAGATTTCATTTTTTATTTGGTCGCATAAAGTATCTCCCCATATAATTGTTTGTTGTATTCTCATGCTCTTTATATGTTGTTTAACTGCAGATGTTGTGGCAATGTTCTTGCTGTTTAATCTTGCAATCTGTTCCCGCTGTTCCCAAGAGGACTGATATCAAAAGGCAATCTATTTTTTATAACCTGGAGTCTTGTTCACTTCTTCCAAAGAATCGTATCCACAAATGAGTTTTGAACTTGACATGATGTACAGTTTTCCCCTTGAAATGGGATTTTTTGGTTCCCTTCATTGTTTTAGGAATTCTTTCATAATCACTTGTCCTTTAAGTTCTTGAGAGACATTATTTTTCCCTATCGTTATAATGTTATAGTGTTCTGTTGTGTTGTTCCTTCTTTTAAGTTGGAGATATTATACATTTCCTTCACAAATTATGTTCAGATATTTTATATTCCTTAAAGAAAAATTTGGCTTGTTCGAAGCATCTCATTGGTGAAATTTTTGGCTTCTCATATGTGAATGCCGGTGCTCAGCCAATGCTTTGTTTGCACAACAATGACTCATATCTCATTGACTCTGGATGCCTGTAAGTTCAAGAAGGAATTTTTAATTACAATACATTGTTAATTGTGAAAGTTATTACACTTTTAATTATTAATCATTTATAAGGTCCCAAGTTCATGCCCTGTATTTTGTGCTCATAATACATTTGAAGTTCATTTTATTCTTGTATCCAGTTATCTTTCTACTTTGGTGCTTGAACTTCATGATGCTGCAGGCCTAATTTGAAAACATTTATACTATTGTTTTAGAAAATGCTTTGATTTTCAACAATTTTCCAGATGAGTTTCTGGTCTCAGAATGAGTGTTGTAGCATATATTTAGGATTTTAATTCCCTAATTTCTCTCTTATTGTTATTGTTATCATGTACAAATTTGTTACCTAAAGTCTCTTAGTTTTATTTCAATAGTTTCACATGCCTATATATTTGTTGTTCCTACCGCTATAAATAATCAGAAAAACAAATACTTTTTCAATTCTCTTTTCAAGTTGGCATCATAGCTCCTTGCAAAGGAGCTTTATCCCCGCATCTTGAAAAACCATAAGCTTGTCTGTTGCCTTCATTGCACCTGATTTCTGAACTCTAGGCATGGTTTTTGTGCCTAGGTATAATGTCAGTCACCAACCACCATTTTTAACTGCCATTCTCTAGTGTTGGCTATTGACCAACATTGATTTGGACTGCCAACCCCACCGAACTAAGGGCCTGTCCATTGAATGGTTTCATCCATGGTTGTCAAACTACGGAGTTAACTCGTAGAATCGTACGAGTTTACGAGTCCAGGGTAGGAAAATTGGTTAACTCGCTTCTAGAATCGTTTTCTAGTAGACTTGTACAGACTCAGTTGGACTCAGGCAGAATTGCTCAGAATCGCGAGTCTATGGGCGAGTCTGCGAGTCAGCTTCAGGTCAATTTTTTGCCCCCTAAATGCCCAAAACAATGTCGTTTCAGAGAGAGTTTCTAGTCTCCTCTCTATTTTCTGCAATCTCTCACTTTTTGCATACGAAAACCACACTTTCCCTCCTATTGCGTTCTTCGATTTGCTTCTGTTCGAGCTCCCACGACACCGTTTGGCTTCATTCTGTCTGTCCAACGCTGTCCTTGCAGCTTCCAGTGTCGTCCCTGCAGTTTTCGACGAGCTGTTCGTCCATATGTTTTCCTGTTCGTCCAGCATCGTTCATTCACCTTTGCCAGGTCAAGAAAACACTCGTTGGAAAGGTGCTTCATTTCCTCTGTTTTTACTCCTTCAGCCATGCTATTGCTATTGTGTTTATGCTATTTTATTCGAACTTTTTGCATCCCTGCTGTTCTAATTTATAGGTGTTGTTGATTGTGTTGTTTTGATTGCCTAAACCAGCACACCCTGCGGGGTGTTTTTGTTTAATCTTGAAGCCCTATTTGTTTAATTTCAAGTTTGTTGTGCTGTTTTGGGGTGTTTGTTTGGTTTGCTAGTGTTACTCCTATAATTAGTAAGATGTTTGGAACTGGTGGTGGCTCAAAGTCTTCAAGCAATTCCAAAACAAGGACAAATGCCCTTGAAAACAGTACTGACATTGGGTGGAAGTATGGGACAGATGTTCAAGGCAATGGAAAAAAGGTGAAGTGCAACTATTGCACAAAAATTGTCAGTGGGGGGATTTTTAGATTTAAGCATCACCTTGCTAGTACTAGAGATGATTTTGAGCCATGTGCAATGGTATCGGAAGAAGTTAAAATTCTAATGATGAAAATTGTTGCAGAGGCTAAAGAGGCATCAATGAGGAAAAAAAGATTGCTTGATATTTGTTGTGATTCAGGAATTGTGTGTCTTGTTGTACACACACCAATCTTATTTATAGAGTGAATACAATAAATGATAGAGATACTAATCTCTTATATTATGGAAACTAATCTAATCATATCCCTAATTGATAGTGAGGATAATATATGTATCCAACAATATCTGTACAATATCTGTAACACTCCCCCTCAAGCTGGAGCATATATATCATATGCGCCAAGCTTGTTACAAATATAATCAACCCGAGGCCCTTTAAGAGATTTTGTGAACACATCTGCTAACTGGTCACTAGAGTGGACAAATTCAGTGGTGATTTCTCCTGAGAGCACTTTCTCTCTTACAAAATGACAATCTATTTCTATGTGTTTAGTCCGCTCATGGAAGACTGGATTGGAGGCAATGTGGAGAGCAGCTTCATTATCACAGATGAGTTTAGTTCCCTGAGTGTCTCCAATTTGAAGTTGCTTGAGAAGTTGTTGTAGCCATGTAACTTCACTTGCAGCTGCTGGGCGTTTGTCGGCCGACGGCGGTGGTCGGCCGGTGAAGGCCCCTGCAAGAAGAAAAAGAGAAAAAAAATTCTAAAGGAATAGACCTAAGCTCTAGATACCATGTTGTGATTCAGGAATTGTGTGTCTTGTTATACACACACCAATCTTATTTATAGAGTGAATACAATAAATGATAGAGATACTAATCTCTTATATTATGGAAACTAATCTAATCATATCCCTAATTGATAGTGAGGATAATATATGTATCCAACAATATCTGTACAATATTTGTAACAATATTGATGAAGAAGATGACATAGAGAAAGTGATGGAGACTATGACAGATAGCTCTCAAAGGAAAGGGAAGGATGTCATGAGGGCTTTTACAAAAGGAAATGGAGTTGGTGGTGGTGGAGTTCAAATAACATTAAACCAAATGATGAAAAAAGACTACAAGGACCAAGTTGATCAACAAGTTGCAAGATATTTTTACACAAGTGCCATTCCCTTCAATTCCATTAAAAATGTAGAGTTTATAAAGATGTGTGAGATGATTAGGAGATATGAAATTGGTTATAAACCCCCTTCTTATCATGATGTGAGGGAAAAACTTTTGAAACAAGCCGTGACTAAAATGGATTCAATGCTTGGAGAGTTTAAGAAAGAATGGAAGAGAACTGGTTTTTCAATCATGTGTGATGGATGGACAGATAAGAAGAGGCAATCAATTTGTAACTTTTTGGTCAATAATCCTAAGGGGACAGTCTTCCTATATTCATTAGACACATCTAACATCTCTAAAACAACTGATAAAGTTATTAAAATGTTGGATGTTGTGAATTATGTAGGAGAAGAGAATGCAATCCAAGTTGTGACAGACAATGCTGCAAATTACAAGGCAGTAGGTGAAATGTTAATGTAGACATGGAAGAATTTGTATTGGACTCCATGTGCTGCCCACTGTATTGATTTGATATTTGAGGATTTTGAGAAGATAAAGGTTAATGCAGTGAATATCAAGAAAGGTGAAAGATTACCACCTACATATACTCTAGAACAATGCTCATTAGCATGTTGAAGAAGTTCACCAAGGGGAGGGACTTGGTTAGACTCGATATGACTAGATTTGCTACTGCTTATTTAAGTCTATCTTGTCTCAATGATAATAAAGCGTCATTGATGAGTATGTTGCTCAAATGAGTGGAATCCAGTAGGTTTGCCTCTACACCGGAGGGGAGAAAGGTGCAAGGCATGGCTTTAGATAGTCGTTTATGGAAGAACATAATCATATGTCTCAAAGCCATTGTTCCTCTTATGTTGTCCTTCTCTTGGTGGATTCTGATGAAAAACCTACCATGGGTTTTATATATGATGGGACGGATTGTGCCAAGGAAAAGATAAAAATCAACTTCGGCAATGTTAAGAAAAGGTAACTTTTCTAAGTTCTAACTACAACTCCCTTGAAATTTTAATGATCTTATTTAGTATAGTTATGTACTCATGTTTCTAGTATATGATAATGGGAATATTCCTAACTTGGATTTATTTCATATTTATAACTATGAACCTATATGGAATATTATTGATGAAAGGTGGGATAAACAACTCCATAGGCCCTTACATGTAGTTGCATATTATCTCAATCCCTTTTCCATTATGACCCTAATTTTAGAGATGATGATGTTGAGGTTAAACAAGGGTTATACAATTGTATGGCAAGGTTGGTCAGTGACTTGAATGAGAGGAGCAAGATCGATATGCAATTTGCTGACTTTCATTATGCTAGAGGGTTGTTTGGGTTTGATACTGCAGTGAGTAGTAGGAAGGTTATGCTTCCTACAAAATGGTGGGACTTCTATGGGGATGGATGTGCAAAGTTAAAGAAGTTTGCCATCCGTGTACTAAGCTTAACTTGTAGCTCTTATGGATGTGAGCTTAACTGGAGTTCATTTGAAATAGTAATTGAATTAATGTCTTTGTTTTTAGTTGTTAATTTTTAATGTTTAGAAATTAGAGTCCTAGGTAATCTTGAAATTTTGGTTTTTGTGTTCTATTTTCTAGGTTCATACTGTTAGAATAGTGGATTAAGCCTAACTCAACCCTACAAAACCGGCTTGTAAGGTGAGGGTTGCTATTTTTTTTTTATTTTTATTTTTTGAATATGAATAATTTCTTATTATGAATCTGAATGAGTACAATAAAATAAATAGGCATAAAATATAATCAATCCCTAAAGTTTAGGGATTTAGATAAAACTGACTAAGGATGACTTAGGAGAAGATAAACTAGTATATCTAAACAGAATTATCTTAACACTCCCCCTCAAGCTGGAGCATATATATCATATGCATCTAGCTTGTTACATATATATGTTATCCTAGGACCTCGTAAAGATTTAGGCAATTGAATAGTATATAAGTGGAAAACAACCCTCACCTTACAAGCCGGTTTTGTAGGGTTGAGTTAGGCTTAATCCACTATTTTAACATGGTATCAGAGCCATTTAGATCCACTTTAAAAATGGGCCACCCACCATTGATGCATGCCTCACAGGCATGAGGGGGTGTATTGGGAAAAACCCAAGTCCCGCCAATCCTAGATCATTAAAAAGGGCCACCCACCATTTATTCACGTACCAAGCTCAATAGTGTTGGATGTGAGGGGGTGTATTGGGAAAAACCCAAGTCCCATATCGACTAGAGATTAGGCAATTGAATAGTATATAAGTGGAAAGCAACCCTTACCTTACAAGCCGGTTTTGTAGGGTTGAGTTAGGCTTAATCCACTATTCTAACACATACAAAGAGAACAAATCGCTTGCATCAAAGGAAGATGAATGATTTGGTTTATGTGATGTATAACTTGAAGTTAAAGAGTAAACAAGTGAAAAGGAATCTTGTTATTCCTTTTGATGAACTTCATTCTGATGATGAGTGGATAACTGAGAAGGGAGATGCTAATTTTAATGGAGAGAATGTCTAACCACCACTTAGGGATGAAAATGAAAATGTGGATGATGGTGGAAATGTTGAACTAGTTGGAGATTCAACCAATCCAACTTTAGATGACCTTGAGGATTTGGTCTTTGATGATGTTAATATTGAAGAACCCTTATCATCAAACGAAGAGGATGAGCTTGAAGAAAATGAAGATGATGATGATGCACGTGAATTTGTTGGAGAGTGAACTTTGATTGATAAATTTAGATCTTGTTTTATGTTTTTGACTTGTGGACTTATGTGTTTTGGACTTTCGGTTGTTCATGTATGGTTAAGATTTGTATTATGACATTTTATTGTTGTTATTTGACTTATTTCAGACTTAGAATGTTGAATTAGTGATATCATATTGTGTGTATTCATTTTTTTTAATATCTTTTAATATTAGGTAGACTCTTACAAGTCTACGAGAGCTCCACGAGTTTGCGTAGATTCTCAAGTTTGACAACCTTGGTTTCATCAACTTGCAAGCTGGGAATGATTGACATTCATTCACCAGCTCAAGGGGAAGTGTTGTAAATATGTAATTAGCATTAATTTAGGACAGTATATTTCCTGTGCATAATATATCTCCCAAATTGATAGCCTGCAATTACTGGATGCTTTTTCCTTTTAATACTCTATTATCATTTGTGTCAACCTCACCCACAGGGATAAGTCTTTGTTGTTGTTCTCTATTATCATTAGTCTATATAGGTGGATTAGTGCTTGTATTTCAAATCACTCAATAACATTCAGGATTATTATTTCTTCTCAATTGTGACAGCACAATTCCCAACAAATAAAACTTTTTATATGCGTTAAAGTTCAAGGTTGATGATGAAAGCTCCAATTTCTTCTAAGTTGCACTTATTTTTGACTTTAATACTTTTTTACAGGTATCACGCCCTTGTTAAGTGGTTTAAGCATCTCATTCGTAGGACACGGTGTTGCCAGCATACAAAGCTCTTGGATAAGCATTGTGTTCTTCCATCATTGGATAAACATACAATTGGAGGATCTAGTTCCAGACTTAAGGTTCTCATTTTTTGTCACCTAGGATGTTAAAGTTTTACTATTGGTCAGTTCTCATTTTTTTTTGTCACCTATAGGATGTTGAAAGTTTTACTAAGTTGGGTGGTTTAAGATGTTTCCACCTCGTTGCCGAGGTTGTATAAAGCTATCCCTAGAATTCTTAGTTGATGTGCATGGCTACAGTTTTGGTCCAAATTGATGATGATGCATACAATGTCTAAAGTGCTTTCTAGTTTCTAGATTTTTTCTAATAATTATAATGCTTTTATTTTTACATATTCAAATAAATATTTGGTGCCTTTCAAAATAAATTTTACTGCAGGACAATGTATCAGAGACAAAGGAGCACAAGAAATCTTGGGAGTATGGTACTAAACATTGTGCAGATACTGTGGAAGCAATAGATTTGCAATCTGAGGCAGTCAAGTTATATTGCCCAAAAAGTCAAGTTGTATCTTTCATATGGGCTGTTTCTAGGAGTTTACTTCCTCCCGAATTATTAGGTACTCCTCCTGCTTGGAGAATAATGAGGAGAAATATTTCCAAGTTCATACACTTACGACGATTTGAGAAATTCCCTTTAAAACTATGTATGCATGAACTTAAAATATCTTTGTTTCCTTTCCTATCAAATGAATATTTCTTAAATAGTCAGAATGCTTGTGTTCCAAAGTATCCAGAAGGGAAAAATAAATTATTTCATCAAGAATTCAAGAATTGGAATGATTCCGTGCATGGTATTAAACGTAAACTTCTGGAGAAGTGGATCTTCTGGTATTACTCTTGTCTGGTTGTACCTTTGGTGCAAGCAAGCTTCTATGTTACTGAAAGTGAGCAAGGGAAACAAGATATTTACTATTATCCGAAACCTGTTTGGGAAAAGTTGTCTGGTAGCACTATTGCTTGCTTCAAAGACTGGAGATGCAGTAACCTGGATGATATGGCTGTACGTAATATTCTTAGAGGTAGATCATTTGGGTTTTCAAAGCTTAGACTTCAACCAAAAGAAAATGGAGTAAGGATGGTGGCAAATCTGAAAGGTTCTTCAAGAATGCCATTGCTTGTGTCCACTAAGGGGGTTCAAAATTGCCAAACATGGGGGAAGGTAAAACACGAGAAAATTAAGTTTGAACATTATCAGTCTGTGAATTCTGTTCTTCGTGATGCCCATACTATTATCAAAGGAATTCTGTTCAAGGAACCGGACAAGCTAGGTTCTTCAGTGTTTGACTACAATGATGTTTACAAAAAGTTATGCCCATTTTTGGTTGGCCGAAAGAAGGGATCAACATCTATGCCTAGTCTATTTATTGTCACGTCTGACGTGTTGAAAGCGTTTGATTATATTGATCAGGACAAGCTGCTTGGCATAATGAATGATGTTCTACTGAAAGATGAATATTCTCTTAAGCAGTATGATCAAGTTGTTTGCACAAAGAAGTCTCTCTGGGTTCAAAAGCAATTTACGATGCTGGATGAAACAAGTAACAATGTTCATACACGATTCACTTCATTTGCTTCCTTTCGTTCCAGGCATTCTGTCTTTGTTAACCAGGTATCCTTTTACATAGGAGAAAGTCATCAGGTTGTGTATATTGTACATTCCTTTACCATTTGTTCTGATTCATTTTGGGTCATAACAAGTTTATATTTTCAATCACATGCTTTGTTGCGTCAATAATGACCTTTACCTTCTTCCATATGATTTACATCATTTAAATTTGTCTTTATCATTTGAGCGAGTACATGACAATGACATTATTATTTCAATTAAAATTTATAATCTATTAAATAATTTTTTAAAATTTCTAATACTATTATTTTTCTGTGTCTAACTAACTGCATGGTAGTATCATTCACAACCACATCAGTCTTTTCTGTTTAATTTTAGATGACATGTTAGTGGGTTGAGCACCAATATTGTTTAATTTTGAACACTGATCCTAGGGTATGAAACAAATTCTGGTTCACGGTTCAAAAAATTAGCTTGACAATTTGCGATTTGAATCTCAATTTGAAACCTTGCTTGTAGTTGTCAATAGCATGCTAGAGTAGGATTGCACTGTGAGGCAGCTCCTAGACTTACGAAACTAGCTTTGTGGTTTTCAATAGCTGCTGTGGCACGTGCAGCTGTGATAGCAGGTGAAATCGTGGTTGGATTGGGTGCCATTGTTACTTTCTACCCCTAGTTAGCTCTATAGCAGTGTCACCTTAAACTTTTTAGAAGGAGGGATAATTTTGTTCCCTATTCATTTAATCAGAGGTTTCAAATGAAACCCCAAGGGTCTATTTAATTTTGTTTTCAATTTCTGTTTTTACTCTTAATTTACAAAATTGACACGTATTCTGCTTTTAAAGATTTTTATTGGATACAATGAAAAATAAAACCTCTTTCTTTTTGTTTTCTCTGTTTCTTTTAAAAATCTTTGAAAATGGGAAATAGATTGAAAATAAGGTGGCAATTGTGTAAATTAGAAGTGAAAATAGAAGTCAACAGGCCGTAATTTTCTTGCACTTGAAGACATTCACCCTTATGAAAGCCCTCTTCTGTGGATACAGTTTCCGGCCAGTGGTGACATTTCTCAGCATTTTCCCAGCTAGCACATTTCTCAATTGTCTTTTGCCAGTGGTGATGATTTCTGGTCACCCTGACCTGAGGTTCAGAGGTCTATCCTTCTTTTACTGTAGTTTTAGCCATACCTGACCTCTATGGTTAAATTTTGACCATCTCTTCTCACTCTAACTAATCTTTGCATTTTCCTTTGATCTTGTTCTTTGTTCTCGGCCCTTATGATTTTTTATTATTGACAATGAATATATCTTCAATTTGGGTTAGCATTTTTATATTTGAGCATACATGTATCTCTAGTGCATAAATTATTTAACTTTATCTATAATTTTGTAACAGCAATCATCTTGCTATTTGCTATTCCATTGTCACTGTTTTGGGGTCGCTTGTTCTCTGCTGCTATCCAAGACTGATATATATGCTAATACTAGTGTAGGTCTGTGCCAAATACTAATAAGACTAAGTGCATGTTTGGCATTGCCTTCTCTTTTTTGAATGCTTTCTCAGGAAGCTGCAAATAAAAGCATTTGTTTCATCAAAATAAGCTAATCCAATTGTGCAGTCACTAATAACCATAATATGTTCTATTGCTCCCCCTACAACCCCATACATAAAAAACAAAAGAATATCTGTCTATCAAAATATAACTTAGTACTCCCCTTGCATTCATGGCGCAAGTGTGGCATCCATCAACAGGAAATCCTAAAGTCATGTGCTCTGGTGTCACACAAGTGTGGCACCACCGGCCTCCAAAATGTGGTTGACTAGATGTCTTAACGGAAGACAGCCCAAAGTCTCAGCAGGGACTGCAGTTATGGTTAAAACTAATGCATTGTTTTTGACGT